CCTTCAGAGGCTGCAAAATAAAAGTGTCTACAGTAGTGCAAAGTGACATGTCAGTTTCCGGGTCATTCTTTTTCCTATCACTTATCTTTTTACTGACGCTCTTGATGTCTGCTCAATCTCGACAAAAATAGCTCACAAAACTCTGATAAATTGACAAAGAAAATGATTATCTGGGAGTATTTTAAATTGCTTAAACTGGATGACATTCTTCTTATTTCCTACTAGACCTATAGTATGGTGCTTCCAAACTTTCCATAATAGTTTAGTAATATTATGCAGGAGTAGTATTATCTCCATACCTTACTATCTTGATTAAGCACATAAGCATTATATAGTATTTAGCAGGCTATCTTGTTACTAAAATCAATTCCATTTTTTCTTCTGAAAAAATAATGTATAAGAAATAAATTATTTAGGTAAATATTCCCCCCCCCATATCTATCAGATGATAGTGATTAACAAAGTAATACCAATTATTTCAGAAAAAAAAGTAATCATTATACTGAAAAGTTACAGAAGTTACCAAATTTTATTGGTGACAAATATTATTAGCACAGGATCCCATTCAATAGTTGTGAAGGCTTAATACATATGAGGAAATGTGGATATGACAACAGAATTCTTATTTTTATCCCTCAAAAAACCCCAGGACAAAACAAAAACATCTCCCTTGCAATTTTTGTGTTGTTGGGTATCTTCTCGTCACAGTGAGAACTTCTGTTTATTGGGGTCGGGGGGAGACAAAAAAGAAAATGCCACATGACCAAAGGTGTGTGTATGTATGCACTAACCAAAACCCAGACAGAAAAAGTAAGACATAATAAAAGTAAAATAAAATCAGAGATGCAATAGATTACACTACACAAAAAAGTTATAGTATTTGCAGTTACAATTTGGGTGCGGCTACACTGTTTAAATGAATTGGGGGTTAGATAAGAGGTTTTGAAGTTGGTTTAAAGTCACATGGTTTTTGTGTTGTTGTGTGCATCCTCTTTGGACAATTTTTAAAATCCAATTGTGAATTGTGTTGTATATTGGCCAGGGGGTCTACACAGACTTTAAAATCATTGCATTTTTAAGTGAACTGGCATCTCAGTACTCCAATTTTTGATATTTCTGGGTCCCTCGTCATGCCAAAAAAAGCAGTTTTCTGTTGTGGTCTTCTTGTCCTTTTGTAGAGAACTGTTTACTGCTATTATTATCATTTTGTTATTTTTACTAACTTTTCATGTTTCAATTTTTATATATTTCGAAGTGGCATAGCACTAGATCGATGTTACAGATAGGAAAAAAGGATACGTTCAGACTGCAGGGTACCCTGCAGCCCGAACCCCATGATCGTGGCATCCATTGTTTGACAAATCTGCAACACAGGTGAGCACACATGCCAAAATGATTTTTTTTTTAAAAAAAAATCACAGCTGGAATCAATTCAAAATAAGCAACCTCCTTGTGGATTTTTTTAAATAAAAAGCTCACTTTCTGACCAAAAAGTGCACAACCAGCTGTGCTTTGTGTAGGCACATATTTTAAAATTGATTTTAAACACACAATACCTGATTGCAAAAACAAGAGTATTACAATGTGTGGCCAAGCTCTTTGCAGTACAAACCCTTGATTTTTAAAAATAGCTCTATAAAATATCTAAGGAAGATACAGTATCACACTCTTCTGAGTTACATATCTCTGTGTCTCACACTCACTAGAGTTTTTTGTATATTAATCAATTTTGTTTTCAGAAAAGCCTTTTCACATGACATTTCTCTCTCTTTTTAGAGATGCATCTTAAGCCAAGCAGTCCTCTTGTCAATCCACTTAACTGAGCTTCAGGCAGAAAGATACAGAACACTGCCAGGGATACCAATACTGTACTTCAGATGACTTGTCCTGCTTGTTTGCTGAAAATCAGTGATGAGGGGAGTTGAGAAAGCACAGCTCTCTTGCTGACTTGAGGTTCTTCAGGGATTCTTGGTTGCATGAGTCATTCTTACAACAGGCCAATCCCCCCCCCCGCTACTTCCCATGCACACATAATACTATTCCTCTAAAAATCACAGCTGCTGAAACTACTAGCCTTAAAGGCAGGCATAGATTAAGACTCTGGCTCAAAACTCTTATGAATTGCAGTAGCTTATCTAGCCATATATCACATTTGTGGGTCATACTGACATAAGACCTGTATCTTATTCCTTAAATTTCTGCCAAAGAATTTCAAATTTTCAAGCTTAAATGCAAACTATTTAAATAATATTGCTATTATCTCAACAAACAAACAAGCCATTGTTGCAAGCCCTGCAATCAGTTACATTAGTAAAAGGAGAAATTTCTCACTGGGGATAGAGCTGTCAAACATTCAGCTTTTTAAACATGTATGCATTAAAGTAGACTTTCTTCTGACTAAGACATTGTATATACACAACAGTCAGGAGGTGAGGCTGAGGAGCCTGACGCCGAAGGAGGCCCGGAGGGAAAAGACTCGAAGCTCGGCCTTCCTGGCGGTGGCTCCTCGCCTTTGGAACAACCTTCCTCCGGAGATTTGCGAGGCCCCTACGATAGATACTTTCAAATGCCAGCTGAAAACATGGATGTACATCCAGGCCTTCCCTCCTGTCAACTACTGATTTCTTTTGCTTTGCTATTTATTATTTATTTATTCCTGCACTGTTTGATATTGTTGTATGCTAATGTTTTTATGTTTTTTAATTGCTTTGATATTCTATAAGCCACCCAGAGTGGTAGAATATACCAGATGGGCGGGATATAAATCGAACAAATAAATAAATAAAATAAACAACCTCTGTTGCATGAATGCATGATGTGACTCTTATCCAGTCTCTATTCAGTGGAACTAAGTGAGAGAGGCAATGAGAAGGCATTTCACTGACTGAAGCTCACTCTGACAAGCAAAAGAGACGGCCTTACTCAGCAAAAGCAGATGTACCTCTAACATATTGTACTGCTAGAGAGAGTCACGGATTGCAGAATGGAATGGCAATCTCTCTGGAACTCTTTGAATGTTGTGGGTGAAAGAGTCATGATTATCAAAGGTTTCATGTGAATGGCTGGGAGAAGCGAAAGGCTTGAGAAGTTCAGGAGACAGCTTAAAGTTCAGGGGGTTTCAGCAAGCAGCTGAGGAATGCCTGGTTTGTGCCAGCACCACGGAAACCCTTTCCAAAACAAGAAAGTGGTTTTTTTAAAAGTGGCTCCTCTTCCTTTGCTTTTGCCTTCTCTGACCCTGCCATTTTACCCACATCTATCAATCTAGCTGTGTATTTTAGCCCTGCTTTTTAAACTGGACATTACATTCTTGTTCTTACATATACTAAAATGAACTCTCAATTCCACTAACAGATGGACACCAAAATGGCTGATAAATCCTGCAGTGCAACAAATATCTTCTCCGTTCCTTGTAACGTAATGCACAGCACCTCAGAAAAGCATATCCAGCAAAAAAAGGTTCAGCTATCAAAGTTGTTCTTTTTTCAAATATGTGGTTCTTTTGCATGTGCTTCTATGAATATTTGTCATTGTACCTTGCTCCAATAAATTTGCTAAAAATTAATATTTCTAAGTGAGCACCTAATAAATTAACAAATTTACTACACCTTCTTTGCAGTTACTGTAGCAATGAGAAATTAAATTAAATGCAGGGATATTTTTCATCATCCACTTGCTGCCAATAGCTGTAGTTTTGGAAGAGGTAGCCATGTTAGTCTGTGCAAGCATATCAGGCAAAATCCAAAGAAACAAAACAAAAACAATACATATAAAATAATGGTCAATAGTGCATTCTGTCAACTAATCATAAATATAAGCTGCCAGGATTCTTTTAGTTATGTCCACTGGCGTTAACTAAGGATGGTACTTTCAGAATAAAAGAGCACCCAGTCTCGTAATCTGATGCAAACTCTCTAGGCTGAATCATGGGACTAAGAGCCATCCAAATGTCAAGAGCTAAAGCAGCCCTCTTACTGCTATGGTTTTCTTCAAGCCTTTATTAGAAAAGTGTCCCGCTGCACCACAGGAGTTGTGCAGATTTCCTGCAGCCTCCATTGGAACTCACTTCCCCACGCACCTTTGCAAATCAAAGAGGATCCTCACAACTCCCACAGTGCAGCAGGACATTTTCCTAAGGGTGCAAAGAAGTATTTTGAGTCACCAAATTCCCATTGATTAAATATGCCTGTACTAGTTGTGACTTACTACTAGATTTCCACGATTGTTTTTTTTTAATTTCCTGCTTCTGCACAGTAACATCCATACTGAGAACTAGAGTGGAAATCACAGTCCTGGATTCCTTGTTGGTAGCAAGAGTACAGGACCTGACAAAATCATACAGGGGTTCATGTTTTTGCACATTCTCCAATGCTATATATGTCGTCACTTGCCAGAGATGTGTTTCTGCTATTTACATAGGCCCAAAAGCTAGCCTCTATGCAAGCTGAGACCAAAAATTTCAATGTTCATAAAACAATAGTGAACAATGTTCTAGAGCACCCTACTGTTGATTTAGAAGTCACCATAATTCAATCAACTTTTGTGCCCAAGAATAAGACATTTTAGTGCTTCACCAATTTTTCACAATCTAAGTCTCTATTCTGGTTTTCAAAAATGTATACATGAAGTAAGGCTCAAACAAAGGTGGATTTAGAAATGCACATATTAAGCATCCCTTCAGGCCATGGTTTCATGACATGGGCATGCAAGTGGTAAACAAAGGCTTTTTCTTTTTAAAGAAAATTGCAACATTAAATAGTTATTTTAAAAGCAGTTTTAAAACCTTCTTGTCAAAGTCATAGGTCCTTATTTCTAACTACATGCATGTGCAGTCAGACTGTATTTCCTGTGAAGGTATCTAAAAATTTCTGTAACTGACCATAAACATTTAAAATGGTGTCATGGTGACTTTTATTCCAGTGCAGATGTAGGCGCAATGGCATTATAATGGCAATGCAGGCACAGACATCTGCACTGACATTTAGAACCAGTGTTTGAAATACCTGGAGCTTTCTCCACAAATACAACTTTGGAGTCCTGAAGAAAGTTGTGTCCACTCAGTATCATTTTCTTTCCGCCCATCACATGGTAGCTATCAACGCTTTGCTTCTCTACCAAAGGCAATTCCTGAGCAGATCTTTGAGCTAATGGGATCAGAAGGGAAAGTGCCGCAATCAGTACAAAATAAAAACAGTAAAGGCGTAAAGAGACATACACACGTACACATAAACACAGACTCTGTGGTATTTCTTCCTGGACCTCAAAACATTTGTCAAACCTACCCAAATCAAGAAATTCCTATTTCTGTTGGCAATACTTTTTAAAACTTCTAGTGGCATTTATTTCAAGGAGATGATGGCTACCTTTACACTTTGCCTTCACTTAACTTTACAAAGCATTCTTTGAGAGATCAGTGCAACACTTTTTGCCTGTATCTTCTTTCTCAAAGTAATCTCAATTAGGTTGTTGTGGGTTTTTCGGGCTCTTTGGTCGTGTTCTGAAGGTTGTTCTTCCTGACGTTTCACCAGTCTCTGTGGTCGGCATCTTCAGAGGACAGCAACCTGAAGAACAACCTTCAGAACACGGCCAGAGCCCGAAAAATCCAGAACAACCATTAGATCTCGGCCGTGAAAGCCTTCGCGAATATATTAATCTCAATTACTTTGAGAAGCATTACGGATCCAAGATGCTTATGCTGTGAAAAATCTGTGAGTTGAATTAACTTAACACAATGAATACCAAACACAACCCAGAGAAATGTTACTTACAGCACTCAATGGGGTTGGATGCTACTTGCAGAGAAAGGGTTCTCCCATTAGGTTGAGGGATATGAACACGGAAGACCAACCGAACACGTGTATTCTTTCTCCCAATGTCAGTTTCTCCTTTCCTCAGCTCAATGTCTGAATTTCTGAGTTTCAGTATTCCAGCACAGTCAATGCTATTCAGAAGCAAAGCAAAGCAAAACAAAAACCATGTAAGAACAGGCCATTTCAAACTTACTTCTGTAGATTTCCAGAATTATACTTGTGTAAGCTGTCATTACATGTCAGCTTCTGGGGGGGCAAAGGCTCCAAAAGGAAAATATAAGAATTGGCTACGGATTCATTCATAGAAAAGGCACCCACCCTCATCCCCACCCATCGGATAGCTCCCAGAAATAGGCGAGCAAGAAGGTCCTCTGTTGCTAATCTTAAATTCTGTGCATGCTTGTGTAGGTGAAATCAAGATGGGATCATACAGGGAAACAGACTGCAATCTGGACCACCTGGGGAGTCCGGTGCCATCTTTTCCCTGATTATCAGATAACACATGATGAAATGCCCTCCAGCCTGACCCCAAGCCACCCCCAAGATTGACCTTCTGCTCCAATCATAATAAGCCTTCTACTTTGGGGGGCTGGGCTGAAGTATTTCCCCAGATGGAAGGGTTGCTTTAAAGGTGATTGCTCCCATTAAAGCAACATTTTCTAGTACGATAAGGTGTGCATCTTTGCAGCCATCTGATTGAACCTTCCATTCATCAAGTAGCCCTTGCCGCTATTTGGAGTGGTTCTCCCTTCTCAGAAAGAAGTTCTGTTCACTAAGTGGTGTGCTTGCAATGTGTGCTTGCAATGTGCAACACTTTTTCATCCAGTTCATTTATTGCAGTAAAATGTCCTAAGAGAATTGAATTGTGATTAACAATGTCAACTCTGAAGTCCAAAATCAGCAGAGGACTCAGCCATATGCCTTCGTGCAGATTGGTACATTCCCTAATCATAAACACCCTGTGCAGATACAAATTTGAAATTCAAAGGTAAGAATAATACACTTTAGATCTAATTCCATTATTAAGAACATGTGAAGTAAAGCATGAAAAGCACAGACTCAGTGAGTTTAATAAATATCAAATTTGAATGAAATGTTTGATTAGAATTTTATTCTAACCTTGGATACAATAGCCTCATGAAAATTTGTAGTCACTGGCTCAGAAATTGTCTCAGCCACTCTTTATTATAATGGAAGTTACAAAGTTTGTAAAATCAGAACAACTTCACATCTTTCAGTCTCTGGGGCTTTGGATGGTTCAGATATAACATTGGGGAAGAATATTTATTTATTTATTTATTTATTTGTTTATTTATTTATTTATTTATTATTTAATACCCTGCCTATCTGGTCATTGCAACCACTCTAGGCGGCTTCCAGACAAATAAAGAATAACATATACATATACCAAAATAAAAATTATAAAACAACAGACAAGAATGTCCAGAAGCCTTGCGCTTGCAAATTCCCTCTTTCCCTCATGCATAGCATCACTCTCCCTCCTTTCCAGGTTTGAGGATACTTGCTTTGCAAGCCAGGATGGGAAATCACTGCATGATTCTGGTTTCCAGGGCTCATGCAAACCATCATGTACTGATTCGAATGAAATAGATGATGAAGGTTTGCTTCAAACCCGAACGGACAAAGGCAATCATTGTTCACTGTAGAATTAGAAGGGAGTGTGTGAACATGAGGCCTCCTGAAAACCTCTACCCTTTGTCCCAACTATGCTTTCACATAATATCTGAACCAGCCCTCTATGAAGGGCAGCCTTCTTTCACCAGCCTTCCTTCATCAGCTATGATTACAACAGTACCACATATGAAAACATTTAACAGGTAGCTCATCCCTCCCTTTTTTTCTTCAAGGAAAAGATGCTGCCTATCTGCATACCAAATGGCTTAAATTTGTCCTTATGGTGCAAGTTGTGGAGAAGAGAAATGGCTTCAGCATTTGCCAAAGACAAGAGAGCAAGTAACTCGACTTTAGTAACTGGGAAGATGGCTGGCCATATGCTCCTTTTGTATAAATTGACTGCCTGCCATTGATTTCAGTGGAATAAAGCCAGTTTCCACATACACTTTCAACTAGAATTTGGCATACCTCTTGTGCTATAAAGTATCAAGAACGGTCAGAGCTGTCTCAGTTGTGATTTTCAGGTGGGGGTGGGGTGCTCTATCCAATGAGCTACTGTGATGGCAAGCAAGTCTGTCAGATCAGACACCAGGCCAGACAGCGTAATCCCTAATTTTTACAACAGAGTTGCAAATGAAGCCAGGATGTCACATTTTCTGAGTCTATGGAAGTGAGCCGGCAACCAGCCTCTTTGCAAGATGCGGCAAAAGGCTGCCATACAAATTTGCCACAGAGCACAAAAATGACAGGGATGATGGGGATCAGCAATAACTCATGCACATCCTGAAGTTCATCAGCAAAACTCTGTATCTCATATATTTTGCAATAAATGCACATAGTATTATTGTAGGCAGTTGAACATTTTTTTCAGCTGTTTTTTCACTGTGCCTGGGAGGCCCTTTAATAATACAGATCCATGAATTTGTCACTTTGAACATAACAGAATGGGGAACAGGCAAATAAATAAGATACCTGATTAAGTGGAGTTACCGTATTTTTCCGTGTATAAGACTATACTTTTGTCTAAAATCTTTAGACTAAAAATTGAGGGTCATCTTATACACAGAAGTAAGCTCAGGCGAGAACAAAATCAAGTGAAGAGGAGGGCAGAGATCAAAGCGATCCTGCAGCCCTTTGATCCCTTTCCTCCTACACTTGCTAAGCCCCACTTAGATTTCTTATTTTTGGATTAGAAAAGTCTTATATATGGGGGCGGAAAAATATGGTAATTAAATGTGGAATTCCAAGGTAAATCCTTTCTTTCACAGCCTTAAGGGATTATTAAAAATGTAGATATAATAGTGGAGGTAAAGAAATATTATGAAATATTTTGATCATGAAAAGAATATTATCAATGGACTACACAGAAGATTCAGACTGAACTGTTCATATCAGTTTTCTTTTGGTTTTACCAGCAGACATTCCTCTGGGGACAAATGACAGAATTAGAAGCATTGGAGAAGAATTATAATTCACCCTTATAATTGAAAATTATAATTGTACAAAATGGTAAAAAGCATTTATGTAATCTCAACACCGTATCAGTGTCTTGGGATGAAAACAATACAACTGGAGGTTGTGCCCAGAATCCTGTTGCTGATTTATGCTTGCATAAGTGTGAGCCTGGCATACGCCCAGGAAAATAACAAGTATCTCATTAATGAGCAGCGATTTGCTGTTGCAGTGGAAGACTGGCAGGGTGGAATGAGTTGACTGCATCCCTTTCGCACTGTAAACATTTCCCCTCTTAAAATCAACAGATAGGGGAGCTATATCTTTTCTCATGAAGAAAGAAAATAAGCTGGGATGAGGGGTGGGATATATTTAGAAAAATGGATGGAAATACAGGTGTGCAATTCCAATCTCTCTAGTTATGTTTTTTCTTTCCATTTTTTTTTCATTTATGGGGCTGATCTCAGTTTTTTAACAATAAACATGGAAAGAGGCATGCACACTATTGAGTGTCTCATTTAGCTACAACCTCAAAATGAACCCTAGTCAACTTTCTCCAAGATCAAACACACACACACAAACTCTTTTTCTTAGGGAAAATTCTAGTGGGGTGTTACTTGCAGAATTGTCTGCTGAAATAAGCTGGTGTCAGGTTAAGAACCTAAAAGCAGGAGCTGAGGCAAGGGATATTTACAGCTCTGTAACTGATATATTGATTTTAAATGGCAAATGCATACTGGTTGAGTATTTAGAGAAAGCAAATATACACACATATACACATAGCTGTTCTACATAAATATAAGGAAAATTTAAGCATTCAAATGATTATGATTCTACAAAGCCGTAGAAAGCTACAGGTGAGGCAAATGTCATATAAAATCCCAAACCTGAAGGAAATGCACTTCGTTAAAAGGACAGACAGAAAGTACAAAGCTTCACAGTATATAGATGATGTAGGCCTTACATTGCTCTCATGTTGTTTTCAGGTAGAAGTGGAATTTCCAACACTTTGGTGTTGGAAAGGATTGTTTCATGGCTAGTTGTGGAAACGGTTTTCCCAGTGATCCGGTGAACCTGGTAGAAGGCATGGGGCCGCAGCAGGCGGTCGTCTGCAGTCCCGATGAACAGCTGTAGTGTGAGTGGTTCACTTTCTAAGTAACCGTGTAGCTGGCAAGAGAACAGAAAAAAAAACTCCAACTAAGCACCATGCGCATAGAAATCTATTAAATGTTTATATGCAAGGGAGTCTAATTTAAGGAGAAAACTTGTGACAGGTGTTAAGCTTTCTCCCCGAACATAACCAGAAACATTCTTTTTTTGGTAACATAATATTGAAACAATAAAAGCACACTCTGAAAATGTCTAATTATTGTGGATGACCTCAGGCATTTCAGACAAATTTTGCATTGTATTGCTTCATACATTCAAAAATTTCACATTAACAGCTGTCTATGAAAAAAATGGCAGTTAACAATAGAGTATGTTTTCTTCAGAAATGTCAAAGCAATAGAATACTAAAAAACCTGAAGATTACGCCTGTGTTAGCAATTTGTATATAGCAAACATGGAAAGAGGGGGAGAGTACTAGCCCTATCTTCTCTAGATGTGGAGAGTAGCTTTTGAAATGCTCCCTCCCCTGGACCTGGAGGTTCTCCACATAACTGGAAGCCCTGGCAAATTTTGTTTGTTTGTTTGTTTGTTTGTTTGTTTACATCACATGCTGCCTTTCTTCTGAAGGCTCTAAGCCGGCTTCCTTCAATTTTAAATCAGGGTTCCCAGTAATGTTGAGTGCCTCCACTGATAAAAGAGGCTCATCACTTAAGAACGTTATTCCCTACATAGACGTTGATGGAAATGGTGACAGAAATAGGTCAGACACTTATGCCCCAATTCTTCACATGTTTACACAGATTGTGAGTACCTGAACAGGTCTTAAAGAGAATCTAAAATCTATTACTAGAGCTATCATTACACTTGAAAAATAATGATGGAATCTATTTTCTTCAGAAAAACCAAGCCAATATTTCAAATCCCTGGGAAGCAGAGTGGTATTTTTACATAACCTGCACAGAGAAATGTGTAAAAATTCAGATAGCTAGGAGTTCACATCACATTTTAGGAGTAACATGTCCTAGCTTCTAGTATCAAAGCCTATCTTGCAACCAGAGTATATTTTTACAGTAATACTTTATAAGAAGTCATGACAGAATATTCACGTACACTGTAAGCACAGAGTGATGTGCAGAAGTACACAATTTTTGCTCAACTTCTATTACTCTGGCATATTTTTCCATCTGTGACTTTAAGAGAAAGTGTTGGGGGGAGGACCATGGGGTTTGCATGGCAGTAATATACAAGATGCTTAAACATAACAAATCAAAACAGCAGACTGGGAGAGGCAGGGAAGGAGAAAACCTCAGCTAAATAGTTCAATCTGTGCTAGTGTCTGGCTGCTTCTTGGCAAGCCATACTACAGGGAGAGCTTCTGGAACACACATACCCATAAAAATATCTGCCAGAGGGAACCTTCTGTTGCACGCAAAGCAAGGCCCACCAAATCTAGCACAAGTGGCACTCCCTTCCATTTACATTTGTGAAATGACTTAGCTAGGGAAAATCATAGGATGACCATTAAAGCATGGCTCTTCTTTGACAATTAACGAATGTCCTTTAAATAGTCTTTGGTCCATGTATGAGTTTAGTACACGATGATTCATGGAATTGATTTGCTGTTTTCAGGGGTCACAAAAGCCTCCCCCCCCCCGGTTGCATAGGACTCATTGTATATGAACATTTCCCCTTGTTGTAACACCATATTCTCCATTGTTAAGTTGGAACTTGGTGCTACGGAGGACACAAAGGAAGGCAGAGTATGCTAAGAAACAATTACCCAGGTCCTCTAAATGAAACACTCTACTAGGCCGAAAACACGGCACCACGGAGACAATTTAATACAGCAAAAGTTCAGTCAATTGTCTTACATATAAATATAGTTGCTTTAAAATGTATGGCTCAAATCAGTGCACCATCTAGACAGCATCTTGAAATAATGTTTAAATCCTTCTTGCTGATCTTTAATAGCCAATCAGAATACTGGAACAAGTATGGAAATACAAGGTTTCTGTAGCACAACACTGCCTAAATCATATTTGCCACGTCCAGGAAGAATTGTTGGGATACCAACAGAAAAATTCATGCAACATGCAGAGAAAGTCTTAAGCCTCTTCTTTGTAGCTTATTTACATTATTGTAGCCAAACAAGGAAGTAGTTGTTTTGTGCATCTGATTTTGTTATTGGCTTTCATCTTGGCTTTGGGCCTTGCCAGCCTTGTCCCTCTGGAAATGACCTACACATCAACAGTTGAGTGCCTTGTATCCTATCTGCAAAGAGGCATTAAATTACGATGGGAAAGACTGGACGCATTATTATTTCAATTAACTGCTGTGAATCTCCCAGAAAGTGGCATCCCGCCAGCAATAATACGATTATAGGATGAAAGGAGTTCTTTGACCAACAACTTGCTCTTGATAAGTTCTACTGCCTATCCATATGAATCCATTGTAAGCTTCTGAAAGTTGTAAGTGCTCAAGGTGAGGGGGGGGAAGCAACAGGGCAATGATTCTACATTATTATTAACACCTTTATTCTAATGTTAATAATTTGAAATTTATACTTTGGTATTTTTTAAAGCACATTGTAACAATAATTTCCTTTCATAACTCCACGCTTCATTTTATTATGCAGTCTATGGTAACACCGTTACCTCAGTGGCATGCCACTTGTTTATGGTAATAATGCTACTCTGTCATAGGAAGTAGCAGGGCAAGGAGAAGCTGAAGAGGAGGAACATACTCCTGAAGCGCTCAACTTTCAAGATTATACTGTTTACTGTAAGATGTGCAACCTGCAGTCTTATCCCTCATGTTAACATCTGTAGAGCACCAACAGAAGCTCTGGCTGCAGGTTTCTTTTGGCAAGTGAGACTAATCTGTCCATCTTTGCCACATTGATGTTGTAACCATTCTTCATTAGCACAATGATGTGACAAGAGATGGGTGAATGGGTCAAGTTCTGTTTCTCTCAGTTCCTCATTTTTATGATTTTAAATTAGGTTCATATCAAACTTTGAGGGTTTTTTTTAATGTTCAGGTGCAAATTCATATGGATTTTTGTGCTTAATTCTCTTTACATATGTATGAAGATGGAGTCGCAAGAAGTTTAAGTAAGCAAAGGCATACCAACAGATAAGCACTTCCTGATCACATATGACTGATGCACTCAGAACACCCTATCAGGGAGACATGCATTGTTTTCCTGGAAGTGCCAGTATCAGGAATAATGCATGTAATCCTGCACATTCTCAGATGCTTACTTTGGAACTTTCCACTATAGGCCCTATAAAAGCGTATCTGTGTCTTTGTTCTGAGAACGCTCACTCTGTACTTGCTGTAGTGCATTGGGACTCTCCTGCTTTTGGAAGCAAGAAAGTATGTGTGTGGGGGTGTGGGTGTGTTTTAATTGACTGGACTGACTCTGTATCTGTTGTGTGATCCCCTTGCCAGCAAACAGTTGGTTGCAGGGCTTCTTCTCCTGACAGATGCAATCCTGTAAGCAATTTTTGCCCAATATATGGAATTTTGCATGTGATTTTCCTTATATAAAGCATTTTAAAATGTTATTTCCATTAACATCCACATTTTTATCTGAACGTTTCTCTAATACAGGGTTCTTGGTAGACATTTTTGAATTGGAGAACTCCTTTGTCAATCCGGAAAAGAACAAATTTTGAAGCATAACCGAGTTTGGTTCACATGTTGGTTTTAAAGCCTGCAGTACATGAAATAGATGAATTTTGTCATCATCCTTATGGGTAGTAGTATGAAGGGAGAGAACCCTTTTTAGGGACCTCAGAATATGAAGTATGGTGCTGCCTCAGATCTTAGTCCTTCAGCAGTCCTTCCATACCCCCAAAAAGTCTTAGGATGGGGCCTTCTCCACCAGCATTAGTTAAGCACTAGCAACGGCTGCAGCTCTGGCATTCAGCAGCGGGAGTCTTTCACTTTGTCCTGTGGACAGACTACTGTTATCTTTTAAAACTGTTTTAACATTCCTGCCTAAGGAACCTGCAGCAATTTATGAACACATATTTCTTAGACAGTTGTTGCTACATTTCGGCCCCTCCCTTTCATTCTGAATCTGAGAAAAGACCTTGCAATTCTTTAGGCTACTCATTCAAGCCAGATGTTTGCTGACAAAAAGATTATGTGCTCAGCCACCCACTCATGTCAAGTCCAAAAGTGGGGGGGGGGAGTGATTTCACCATCTCCGACACTCCAATTTTGTCTCACTTTTATGATGAACAATTCTCACTGCAAGTGCATAACTAAACAGTCACTGTGCTAGGGCCAGCCTGAGAAAAAAGCAGTGGCTATGCAAAGACAGATGTCAGTGACCCAAAACTGTCAGTTCTCTTTCAATTCTGTCAATTGCATTGAGTAATTCACTTTTTATATTATATACATAATCTTCACTGGTCCATCCAAGGCAATAAAACGTGACTCAGGGACATATTCTGTCCTTGCCTAATTTTAAACCATGCACAATTTTCATTAGCAATGACAGATGTAGCCAGACTAGAATTTTAAAGTAGGCAGTCGTTGCCTCCAGCATGGATTCAGTTTTACTCTGCAAGGACCACCCGCACAAACAACAGCTTGCAACTTACTAAATATTTAAACTTGTTTTCCTGCCATATTTTGCAGAGCTGAATCGGAGACCGGACAAAGAAAAGAAAAAAATACTTCCCACCATCACCACAGCAGCAAATAGAAAAGTGAACAATGTAATTGCAAATAAAAATAGGAAGAATTAGTATTCTAAATGATAAGGAAAATATTTTCCTATCATATTTGCACACACACACACATATGTATATATAAAATATTTTCCTATCGTACACATATATATAACATTTTCCTATCATATTTGCGCATATATGCATATTTTCCACACATGCACTGGAATACTGTTCCTGGCTGTCAGGATGGGAAGCATGTGTCATATAATCTATTTTTATCTCTTTCTTTCTGTAACATGGTTCCAAGTGGAAGGTGCCCATCATCAGACCCTCTGTGATTCAATACTGCTGACAGAGAACATTCTTGGC